TTTAACCCATCACCACAGTCAGCAGGGGGCAGCTTGCTGCTCGAGGAGCCATGTGTTGCCTCTGAGCACCTCAGTGGCAACTTGGCAGCCGGTGGACTCAAACCTGAAACCTTCCAGACCCAAGTCGGCTTTCTTAATGACCAAACCACTACTGCCCCAATGGAAAAAAAATGTAAATGTTGGAAGGAGGTGATGCTAATAAAGATTTTGATGAGAAAGAACACGTCATCCTGAGCTGACACAGAGGACGCTGCTGTCTTTGAATCTTATCTGTTCTGTAATATCTATGTGACGCACCATCACCAGGTCACATCCTGTTTCCTCATCCCTTCAACTACCACAGTGTGGCGCTGTGGGCAGATGCGGTCGAGTGTTTACCTGATCTCCTTGCCCTCCGGGTCCTTGGCGTCCACGGTGAGCAGCACCGATCCCTTGGTGGTGTTTTCCAGGACAACCAACTCCATGATGTCCAGGTTGAACTCTGGGAACTCGTTTACATCGTCGACGGAAATGTTGACAAACATGGTGGACTCGCTGCCGTACTCGAGACCCTTCATCAAGGGTTCCGGGTTACGGGCATCGATCTGGAGTCTGTAGTTTGGAGAGGTCTCAAAGTCCAGAGGCTGTCGGAGGGGAAACATGTCGACTGTTAGACGCAGCGGAGTGAAAGAGGACGATGTCGGTATTTTAGGTTGGTTTACATTAATTTTAGATCCATGTTCAAGCTAATCATTTTCTTACTCTAGGAATTGTTGGAGGTAAATTAGTTATTTGTACACCAATTTGTTCATTATATTATAATATTCTAATTAAAAAGTAAAGTATTAAATCTATTTTTGTAAACAATAGGAAGTGAGTTGATGAATAATTATTTTAGTTTATTATTAATTAACGATGTCCGATAATAACTTTTTGCCAATATCCAATATGCTGATATTGTCCAAACTCTTAATTTCCGATTCTGATATCAACCGTTACCGATATATGCAGTCGTTTGCCCCCAAAACTAAGGGAAACGTTTCAAAACCCTACAAGACATTCCAGCAAATTTGGCAAAAACCAGGCAATGCATTTATCGAGTTTTCTTTATCCAATGAAGAACTGCTGCTGGGATATACGTGTATATATATAAAGAATATAGGGGCGATAATATCAGTCGACCTCACTTTTAATAAAACATCTTGATTGAACCGCTGACCTTGGCGTTGCATGTCTACCTGTTCTATTGATCAACCACAAACTAATGTAAGTACTGCGGCTCTTTAGTTCACGTATAGAGAAGCTGGACCTTGGCGATGACCAGGTGTCCGACCCCTTTTCCGTCCGTCTCCACCGTGAAAAGCTCGTCATCGTTGCCTGCAGAAATGTGGAATTCGATCACAGAGCTGCCGCTTTCTGGTTCATCGTCATCTGTGGCCTTCATGGTAACCACTGTGTGTCCAACAGGAGTGTCCTCCGCCAGGGAGTGACTGCCATACTGCACACACACACACACACACACACACACACACAGATTAGAGGAGAAACCTTCACAGTTAGAACAAAAGACTAAAGAGTAAAAATTCTCACATCATTCTTCTCAAACAGCGGCAGCTCATTGTTGACATCAATGACCTTGATCACGACTTTACAGACAACATTAAAACCTGTTGGCCAAGAAAAACAACTGAGTACTGAGTACTACAGCCGTGTACTTACAGTAGTGTTACAGTCGGTAGTGTGTGTGTGTGTGTGTGTGTGTTACCTGGGTCGCTGACTTGGACATTGAGAGTATAAATCTGCTGATCCTTTCTCTGAAGGGAGCGCAGAGCATTGATATTTCCAGTGACAGCGTCGATGGAGAAGATGCTGGGCGGTGGCATCGAGGAGGAGAAGGTGAAGATCAGCTTAGAATTCACGGTTCCCTCTTGGTCGTCATCATAGGCCAACACTTGTCCAATTAGGCTGCCTGGAACCACAAGAACCTCTGTTTAAGGAACATCACTGTGTATTGAAGCAACTCGATTAAATCAAAGTACAGTTTTAGATTCACTGTTATTTATCAGTTCTGGAAACATTGACAAAAACACAGGAAAAAAGCAGAGAAACTAAACACTGACTGGTTTGGGTCGTCAAGGTTGTAGAGTTGTACAGAAAGAGAAAATGTAGAGAAAATATAAACACTGGTTTGTAAGCATGATATTGTGGGTGGTTTCAGGGCCAGTCGTCAACTTCTGTGGTCAACAAATCCCAGTATCTGTCGTGGGGTTTTATGTCTTTTTAGAATTTTTATTTCAAATGTTCACCAGTTGGGTAAATGCTGTAAAACTGCAGGAAGATCAGCTTCTTCTGAAATGTCATGAAAACTTGTCTTCACATTTTATCTAGTTTATCTAGTTATCCAACCAGGTGGCAAAGGCCACATAAGCAGTCACCAGCAGAGGGCAGCCTACCTCCGGCCTGCTGGAGGAAATGCTCGGAAAAAAAAATTAAAATTGCATAAATTTACAAACAACAACAACAATGATAATATTTATAAGACTAAAATTGCGTAAATTTACAAACAACAATAATAATATTAATAACATTAAATCCAGCAGTGACAGTTGACAGGAGGCTACACCCTGGTTACCTGCTGGCTCGTTCTCCTGCACTTCAAACACTGTCTCCTCTTCTGCACACACTGGTGCGTTGTCGTTCACATCCTCCACAGAGACGTGAATCTCCATGGGTGGATCCACCTCCTTGTTATTGACGTCCTTTGCGAACACCACCAGGATGTACTGGAAACACAATCAAAAGCAAAGGAAAAACATAAAGTTGTTGGTTTCTTTATGAGGTTTTATCCAAGTGTCTGAGTGTAAGTCTGAGTCAGGCACCATGTCCTTGTCCTCTCTGTTCAGTGGCTCGGTCACAAATATTTTTCCATCTTCTGTTATCTGGAAGGGGAATAGAGAAAGTTCTCTCTCCTTCTGCCCTAGGCTGTAAATAGCGTCAGGGTCGTTGGACTGGACCTGGAGGCAGAGACAGGGACAAAACCCAAGGTGGTGTAAATAATACATCCACAGATGTACAGTAAATTAGTCATAGTGTGTAGTGAGTATCCTGTGAATATTTATACTGCACCTCTGCGATTTTGAGAGGATATTCTTCCTCCAGGTTTTCAGTTATAATTATTGGTCCAGGGTTCCGCCACAGGTTCTGCTGAACAACAACATGAACTATGGAGTTCCCACTCAGAGCCGTGTCTGACGCGCCGCTCTGGTCCTGCACACGCACATACAGGGTGTAGTCGGGGTCGTTCACGGGGTCAATCACCCGTCGCCTCTTCTCTGAAACAACGACAAAAACAAAAATGCGCTTAATGACGATTTCATAACAAACACATTGACTGAAGTCAACCTTGAATTCCAAGTTATTCCAGACCTCAGGTCAGATCAGAGCATAGAAAACACAGCACAGGGATTACAATTAATTAAGCAATACAAATAGAGCAAAAACTAAATGAACTCGTGGTTCCATTCATCAGTCATTAAGAGCAGTAACAGTTACTATTAGGCACAGTTTTATTATTCAGTCTTTTCATCTTATACTAAGCCATGAGACTATTGCATTAGCACATTAGAGAAGTTTTTTTTAAATAAATGACTGTATAATTAAATTAGCTGGTTATTCATCTGTGACTGTGGTTTCCTGTACAAACCTGCGTTTTCCACACAGGTGAAGAAAGGGTTTTCTTCATACGGGACCTTCTGGACAGGACAGTAGTCAGTGAACTTTGTCTTCAGGGTTTCGGTGCTCCTGTCCTCTCCTCTGCTGTAGTGGATGCCCTCTCTGGACTTCAGCAACTTTTGACCTGTGGGGGGGGGCGAGACGGGGCACATTCAATTACCTTCACTTTAGACTACACAACCTGCAGATTACAGTTGTGGTGATTCTTCTTCGGCAGCTACAGCCTGGAGGTTCAGGGAAGATTGCCGGTTCAAATCCTGACCGTGGTAAGGTTATGGTGTGTTAAGGAGGTGGTGAAATTCTCAGCCAAAAGAGAATTAAGAGAATCAACCAAACTGTTAAATCTTGTCTTTGTTGATACACAGCAATGAAGCTTGAACTAATACATGGAATGGACAGACATATTTCACAGTACGTATCTTACAGCAGCTTTTCTGGCCCAGATTCTTGGTTTAAATTTTTGGTGTTTGAAAATCACGGAACATTCCAGTCAGTCAGTCAACAGTCGTCTCTGACCCTGAATGTGAAGCGATTCTTCTTCTTTATTCCTACTCCTGTCCATATGTTTGTCCAACTACAGACATTCTCTCTAGGGCACAGATGTCAGGCGACTTCTCTTCTGAGTCGCTCACACTCACATGCAACATCGCTGATCAACATCACACGACACACTCATTTGGCATTTCAGTTTTAATCTGGAGCACACCAGATGAGCTGTGTAATCTGGATTGAGTTCGTCACTCTACTGTCAGATTACAGGCAGGGTTGGAGGAATAGGAGCGCCAGCTCGGTTCTGTTGGGTTTACTGTATGACAGGACGTGTGTGTGTGTGTGTGTGTGTAACAGCACCTTCTTCTGTGGTGGAGATCTCTCCGCTGACGGGGTCGATCTGGAACAGGTTGATGTTTTCCTTGTTGGGGAGCTGGCTGACCAGGCTGTAGACCAGCTGAGCGTTTGGAGTCTTTGGGTCGTCGCCGTCAGACGCAGACACACTGGTGAATGCAACACCTGCAGGGAAAGTGACCTTATTACACACAAATACTCCCTGGTTACAAACAGTACCTTCTACATTTGTTTTCAGGGTTTTATTGAACCGAGATTTTTCATATTATTACTATTTATACTATTTTAATTTTTCTGCACATTTCAGGAAAATACATTTTTATTCAAACAAAAATCCATCACCCCTATGTAACACACACACACACCTGCTGCATTGTTTTCTCTAACCACTGCTGTGTAGAGACCCTGGCTGAACTGTGGAGCGTGGTTATTGACGTCCAATACGTTGATGGTGACAAACGCTGGTCCTTCCACCACCACGTCACCCTCCAGCGCCTCCACCTGTTCACATAAAGACTCAGTGGTAGCACAGCGTTGTGTATTCTGTATTGATGTTTCTGTGACTTGTCGTGCAGTGACTGTGATACCGTCAGGATGTAATGGTCCTGTGTGGACCAGTCCAGCGGCGTCTCCAGGTACAGCCAGCCATCCTTTGAAATCTTAATGTCTTCCCGACCTTCTCCACTCAGTCTGAAATCAGTCACACCTGGATGCTTCACCTGGAACTGTGCAGGTAGAAGGTGAGATGAGAAACAGACAGCAGTGTGTGCACCAGTCCTGAAAAAAACATCCTTTTTTCCCCAAACAAAATCTTCAGAAATGGTTCTCATTTTTTAATTGTTTGGATACTAATGAATTTACACGGTTGAAGGAAAAGGAAACAAGTCAATGTTAATACAATGTAATGAAAAGTGTTTTGAAATATACACATTACACATGAACAATCTGTCATTTAAAGCAGGGGTCCCCAAACCCCGGTTTAGGGACCGGTGCCTGTCCGTAGGTCATTTGCAGTGGGACAAAGTGAAAAAATACAATTGACTTCATTCAAAGCGAATCCAGACATATCAATTTATTTTTCTCATTTAAAGATAATCTGCCAATGTTTCAACAATTCAGACTGTGATTCTAATAGAACAAATTCTGAAAAAGATGTTTTCTTTCAAAAAATAAATTATTCTTGAGCAATGGCAAAAAAAAGGTTGGGGACCACTGGTTTAAAGCCGTACTTCAAAGGTTCTATTCCACATTTGAACTCTAGTCATTAGAGATGAAGAAATCTGAAAGTCTGAGTTAATGATTCATGTGTTACTCAGCGCTGCCACCTGCATGGCTGTAATACCTGGTACATGGGATATGGCACTGGACTCCACTCCGCCACATCCAACATGAGATTTACAAGTGGACCCTTTTTCTCTTCCAGGTCCTTCCCAGCAGCCTATCACAACACAGACGTAGGAGTCAAAGGTCAGTGGATACAGTACAGACTAGAAGACGCTGTGACAGAACGATGCTTGTTCTAGTAAAACAACAGCTGAGAGTGTGAGAGTTTAAAGTGACGGTTATATATTGAACTAAATCCACAGGATGAGTCAAACAGTTCTAACGTTCCACCAACGGACACCAGAACAAAGTCTGCAGAGTTCAGGTCTAAATAAGTAACCAGATGTTCTTTATTTTCATGTCGTTAACAAACTTCTCTCTCGTCTTGCTCTAAGTCTTACGCTCATCGTAGGCAATAAATATGAAAAAACATCTACGCATTAATTTACACCAACAGGAGGTTAGTGTAGATCAGTACTGAAGCACCGCAGAAGCAGTTGGTCGGGAAGTGTACTCACAATGCTGAGCAGGAGAGGCAGCAACAACAGATGTACCATGGGTGTCATGCTAACAGCCTGTGAAGAAGGAGAAAGTGGAGGAGGAGGCCAAGGAGGAGGAGGACAGTGAGGAGTTATGGGAATGAATTAAAGGAGGTTTTAAAAGGCAGAGAGGAGGATTTACATTAAAACATACACATTCACATTTACATTAGCATTCATTTACGTTAATGAGTTCTGCAGCAGCATCAAGGTCAGATATTTTATCTACAGATGGTGAACAACGTGTGGGGAATACTCTGTAGTAAACCAGCAGAACAATTACAATTTTTTTTGTTGTATGAGTTACTACAAAGAAAAAGACAGACTTTGAGCTGTTGAAGATCTCTGTGCGTGTCTTTCTTCAATTCCTGCCAGTACGTCAGTGCTAATTCAACTAAACAGGACCAGGTTTCACAATGAGTAAATTGTGAGTAAACTGAAAGATCTTGATCATGATATTTTTTATTACATAAACTTTTTGTATGGTGGTGAAATGTCAAATATGTGTCATAGCTCGGAAACAAAACTATCTATTATCAGGTGACACACGTGCACTATCTCTGTGTCTACACAGTACACTGATTGTGAAGTTAAAGTGCACGTTGACTACTACGGTATTACACCTGCAGAACGATCCACCTGCTGTGCAGAAGAGAAACTTCAAAGCTACAATTATGTCGATGATTTCACTTAAACCTGCTTCACCTTCAGTGACTCACACTTCACTGGTGGGAGTGAATGAGACACAGGTGCCCAAAGGTCAATGTGCTGTGAAATGGAATTATAGTTTAGACTGTATGTTTCTGTGCAAGTGTGTAGAACTGTCAAGTCCCACAAGAACATTTCAATGGAACCAAAACCGAAAATAAGCATAAGCAGAGATGATTATGGTTTACAGTCATATTAGGTCAAACTAAAACTTTGGGTCGAGGCTAATGTATTTATTAACTTTAATGTTAATGTATGTATTTATTAACTTTAATGTTAATGTATGTATTTATTAACTTTAATGTATTTATATTAACTCAGGTTTTGTTGTTTAAACCTGTGGCTCCAGGTCCTCTGTTCTCCTCTGTGTCCTTGAGGTGTGCTCCACCAACTAACACCCTCCTGGCTTGTAGAGGTATATACAAGTCTTACTACAGTACTACATAAGAGGTTTTCTGCCATTAAAGTGTTTTTGTGAGAGTGTGGAGTAAAATCGGTGAACGATCTGACAGCAGAGCAGCACACGGATCTGTGCAAAAACCCATCTGATGAGATTAACAACAGTAGAAGAAGAAGAAGTGATTAAGTTGGATCTTTCCTGCACTGGTGAAGCCCAGTAGAGGAGAAACATGAAGGTGACATTGAATTGGAGCTAATGACCTTTTGTAGCGCAGCACTGGGAGTGACACAGATGTCACCGACGTCAGCTGACGGCTCTAACGAGTCATTGAAAAACTTCATTAAAGGAGATTTTTCCATCAGCATTTCATAGAATGTAGTCGATCACTGTCACAGCTAAGGTGAGGAGAGACAATGTACTGACAGAATACTGCAGTAATTAGTATCAGCTATTAAGACACGGTAAAGTGCATGAGGAAGAACACTTCCTGTGACAAATTCAGTTTATTAACTGACCAACAGGGGTGTTGGTGAAGGGTTATATGATACAATAGTCCTTCTGCTGCTCCTGTCGTGACTTCCACTACTGTTATCTGTTCAATATCTTATCTGACGTTAAAAATTTCCTCTCAGTCCAAATAGAACCTAACAACAAAAATGTCAGTCTGACTTCAACCACAGACCGTCTCAGGCCCAGCAACAGCCGACAGTCCAACCATGACCCTGTCAAAGTCAAGTCAAGATCACCGTCTCCCTTCAACCAACGTAAACATCCTGCAACCGTGATCGGCAGATACAGACCAGGGTTGGTTAGTACTCACACTCCGACAGAAAAAAATACAAATAGGAAAAAAAAGAAGAGGCCGAAAGTAAGAGAGGAGGAGAGTGTGGAGACTTACCTGGAGTGGAAAGATCAAGTGAGTGACTCCACAGACTGCAGAATCTTGGGAGCAGCCACTGACCGTCTGTCAAATGTTAACTCAGCACTAACCAGCAAACTTTTATTGAACCTAATGATTGTCTAATCACCCGGCCCTCCACTGCGCGTCGACCAATGGGTGTGAAGCTGCGAACAAAGAAGGAGACAGAAAAAACAGATTGTTGAATCACACAGTACTGTGAAAATCAAATCCATGAGAAGAAATCATAACTAATTCATATTTTAACACAAACTCACGAATGCTGCTGCTTCGAGTCTTGGTGGTTTAAATGTTACAGGTCGGAAAACTGTTTCAGTTTCTGTCGACCTTTGATCTTTGTCGACCGAACGCATGTAAAGAACAGAAGAAAAGGTTTGTTAGTAATGAGACATTCTGTGACTTAGCTTCACATTTTGACTCAGACTTTGACCTCTGCTCCTTTGGACCATTTCCGGTCGGATTTTCCATTGTAGGCCCAGCCTGATAAGGACCTGTGTGTTTCTCTGTGTGTGTGTGTAGACAATAAGAAACAAAGATCAGACACACAATCGTTGCCTCGTACTAAAGGGTGAAGGCGTGGGGGTCACACGGCGGCTCCTAAGGTTGAATCACACAACATGAAAACAAACAGCTGGTTTAATTCTCTGATCCAGACTAGAACTCATTATTGAAGTGACCACAGAAATGACCAGTGTGTTATATTCACATGGGTTTGACATAGATTTAGTTTTAGCCGAGTTTTTCTGCATGGCCATCGTGTTTAAGTCTGAAAATGCAAAGTTTACCTATCTGCATGGCCATCGTGTTTAAGTCTGATTCTTGCTTTTTTTACACATCAATCTTCACCATCAACTCTACAGTATATAAGAACTAGACAGGACGTATAGAAACATTTACTACGCTTTACTAAAACAACGACAGAATCTGAAATGAAAATGCAAAGTTTACCTGACATCATTTCCTGCACAGTTGAATTCATTGGATTGACCCCCTTGGACAAGGACACCCAGCTACAGGCTGACATGAAATAAAAAGAACTGAGTGAGCCAAGACTGTGGTGAGGCATAAATACTGACAGGACCTCCTTGACTAAATCTTCCTTGAAGGAGACCATGAGTCCAGTGGTGTCCATTAGTGGAAAGGGGGTTGAAAACAAGCAAAACTTTTTTCACACTGATGAGCAGCCAGGACAGGATGACTCATCGAGACTGAAAAGTGATGACTCAGCACATGATCATGACACACTGGCAGACGTCCACAGATCATTTGTCGCAGTATTGTTGGAGTACTGAGTACTGAGACCGGAGGAGATGCACAGGCTGCACGGCCACTGAATCTGTGACTGTAGAAACAGGCCGCGGGTTAGTCACTGTTTCACACAGTCACTATTTAACCAGGATCTGTGAGTGAAGTGGTGACGACTCTGTGGATGAAGCCATGAAATATGAGGGAAGTGACTCTGTTATGTAAGGCAGACACCGTGTTCAGCTGTGGGCAGCATGTGAGATTCTGTGTCCAACTTATACCATCTGCACAGTGCTCCCTGCACTAACCATCGTAAACACACACACACACTCTCTAGGTTACTCCCAGAGCTGTTACCTTGGCAACACATTTCCCAGATTTTGTTGTTGTCGTCTTTGTTGTCAATTTTCCTGTGAAAAAAAAAAACATGTCTGAGGACGGACAAGATTTTTGGCGTTTTCTGTGACACATGACTAGGTTTGACTCATCTTTCGTCAGTTGCTGCAAAACTCTGGAGAAGTGTGTCTCTTCTTTGTCAACGCTGAGTCATCCACGCTAATCTTTTCATTAGCGAGGTTTGTAAAGGGGGGGGGGCAAACAAATTAGATGATGTCATTTTATTTCATCAATCACAATAGAGTCTCAACAGGATAGTCATCACGGAGAGTGCAAATACATTTTTCCTTATAAATTACTTCAAACTGACAATAGAAACGTCGACTACAGTTAAATATCAGTAGCTTAGCACTGGTACTCTTAGCACTTGAGGATTATAAAAAACAAACAAAAAAAAAAACAAGAAATCTATACAGTGATTAACTTGTAGAAAAAAGTTAAAATGATGTAACTATTAAAAACGTGAGAACAAATCTGTATCATTTTTCTCCTTCAACGTTTCTTCAATGCCATCAAGAAAGTCTGAAATCCTCGTCTTTGTTGGAGCGTGGGTCAAAAGTTCGCATTTGTACAGATGTGTACAGACCTGTTACCCCCCTCAGATGACCAGTGTCATGGCTGTGAGGAGGGAGGCGGGGGGGCAGGTGCCGACTCACCAGGACCGGGCTTGAACCACCTAAGGTTGTGCCCTTCAGAAACAAAAGCAGGAAGTTTCTTCAGCCTGTTTTTTCTCCAGGATTTAGTTGTTAGGATGTAAACAGTGACCTCTACAGGACAGACAGGTCATGACATGACTTTGATTTGAGCCAGAAGGCCATGCTGCGGTTGTTCTTTGCCACCACCTTGTCCAGGAACCGTCTGGCCTTCATCGGCAGGCTTTCGCGCCGAGTGTTACAGTTAGTGTGTCTGCGACGTTTGTTAGCTTCCTTGGAGTCGCGGCGCAGACGCAGCTGCCGCACTATGCCGCAGAACGCCTCCCAGACATTATGCTGCATGGCAGCGGAGGTTTCGATAAACTTACAGTCAAACACAGCCGCACAGGTGCGTCCCTCTGCGGGCAGAAAGACACACATCATAAATCTTAAAAACACTGTTCTCATCATGCATTAAAAAATTGAGCCATCCGGTCTTCTCACCTGCGACAGACACCTCTCTGCGCCGCACGAGGTCGCACTTGTTCCCCACCAGGATGATCGGTGTGTGCTGAGCGGGACGGGAGCGACGCAGGGTGATTCTCAGCTCGGAGGCTCGCAGGAAGGACGCTCGGTCGGTGATGGAGTACAGCAACAGGTAGGCATCGCCAGTCTGCATGTAGCACTCCCTGAGCCCAGTCAGTGTCAGTCTGAGAAACATGCAGTTTGAGACGCGTTTAAGGACACAGACTGAGTGCAGCTGACACGGAATCAAAACATGATAAAAATCACAAAACAAGAAATTGTGCAAATAAATAAAAAAAAATCTTTAAAAAAATAGGCTTTTGATTAGGATAGGAGTCAGTGATTCATATGTCAGATATCTATGGTTAAATCTGTACAACTAATAATTTATTATAATAAATAATATAATATAAATAATATAATTTTAAACTGTGTATATATTTAAACTATTTATATATCATGTTAAATCATATTTTTATAATAGGGTTATTATATTATATATTATAATTATATTAATGTGGTATATTGATCATATTTTTATAATAGGGTTATTATAATATATTATAATAATATTAATGTGGTATATTGTAGTACACATAATTCTAATTTAATTCAATAATGGACACTGCAATAATTAACATCACACACAAAACAATAATCAACTATTAACCCACGACTACTACATCTAAGACTTCTACTATTTTTTATTTTTATATCATCGTTGATCTTAGTTTTGTTTAGAAAAAAACACTTTTTCGTTTTTAATGCGTCAGTCACGTGACTTTAACTGCTTGAATATGGTGTTCTCCCATCAAACATGTTAATTCAGTAATCAGACCAAGATCATCTGGGTTTGCAGACGAGGCAGGAAGAACAGAAAGGTGATGACAGTCTCACAGGGTTTTTGACAGGACAGTGCAGTGATGGTCACTGGTTGTCTCACCTCTGCATCCCAAGTGTCCAGTAACGTCACCACAGCAGGCTCTCCATCCACTTCAATGACCTTTTCAAACATTTCATCTGAAATTAAACATGTAATTCAGTTATTATGGAAGCTGGATGTAAACAGTTTCATTATGCCTATTTTTTATTTATTTTTTATTTAAAATGTCTTTTAACATATACACAAACGGTTTGTTGTAAATTCTGAATATAAAATAGTTTTGTTTACTTATTTTTAAATAACAGTATATAAAGTAAGACGCACATGAAAATTATCATTCAATAACTTCAAAGTTGATGAAATGAGATCCTCCTCACCTCCGCAGAGCTCGCAGTCATCACTGTCCATGCTGTCCGCTGCTCCGTCGAAGATCCGGGCGAACGCCGTCTTACCGACCCCGCTGGCCCCCAAAAGGACCACCCTGTACGGACTCTCTGGCTCCGTATTCTCCCCGGTGGAGTCCGTGGAGATGACCGAGTCTGAGGAGGACCAGCTAACGCGGCTGTCTTCCGACTCTCCCGTGGAGCTGCTGCAGGACTTGGAGCGGGAGATGCAGGCTGGGACCCGGGCCAGGAGTCCGTCCGGGAGCAGGTGGCTGCCCGGGTCACAGATGCTCCAGCGGTGGAGCTCGGTCTGCAGGCGGAGGCTGTGACGGCGCACAGAGGACAGCATGGTGGTGGTGGTGGACTGGCTGAGATTAAAGACTGTGTTTGCGGTCGTTCTGAACTCCTTTATTAGGATAAAAAAACAAATTTCTTCTCGTCTTTTCAGATGATGACGTTAAACATCTGGAAAGTGGAAAAACGGGGCTGTGATCTACAGTATAAGAAAAAAATTCATCTCGACTGATGAAAACGATTAATTCAAATATTTAAACTCTCATATGACTATAGCTCCTGTAACGCTGCTAACTCTGGGGGCGGGGGGTCTGTTGTGTCCGTGCCACATGGTCTCTGCGGATGCTGAGGTGAACGGGATTCCCTCCGCTTTATATACACTGGAAGGGGAGCGTGAGGGGGAGGTAGGGGAGGAGCGGATGGGGAGGAGGAGGAAGGGTCACACAAGTAGAGCATCATCAGGCAGTGAGTGTCTATCTTTTACTGCCATGTACCCTGTAAAACACTGTCAGTACTGTCAGTACCTCCTAACCAGCACAAAGGACGTTAGGTTTAAAGAAAAAGGTGAAGCATCGTGACGTCACCATGGTGTGATTTATTGCACATTGTAAAATGTTGTTTACTTTTACTGACAAATATGGATAAATAAGGGGCAAAAGACAAACACTACTAAGTTGTTTTGTTTTGTTTTGACGATGTTAAAGACATATATAAAGTTTTGGTTCAAAACATAATTAATAATTCAAACATAATTACCATATTTTCCGGACGCTCCAGAGTACAAGTAGCACCAGCCAGATAGAGTGCCCTCTAGGGGCTGTCAGTGTGAAAATAACAAACATGTGAAATTATATATTTTAATCACACCTGAGTATAAGTCGCAAACCTATGCAAAGAATGAAAAAAAAAGTGCAACTTATAGTCCGGAAATAATGGTACTTCAGTTCCTTGAATCCTCCCAAATATCCCTAAATAATACAATCTGCACCTGGACATGTGTCCACTATACAACCAGCGTTACTGAAGTGACTCATTAGAAGCATTATCAGACGCATGCAGTGGCTCGACGCTGATAACGGCGTCATCAAATAAATCAACACACCCTATAGTTCAAACATGATCTGTAATCTTGAGTCCACTCAGAGCGAAACCTGTACATGACTTTCATATTCCCTAACACTAACTCTGTGTCACAGAAGGTCTAAATTTAGCTTCAAGTGAAGGCCTGAGATTCACAGTTAGCGACAACGCAATCCACCAGGAAGCAGCGCTCGGCATTTTTATGAATAAACGACCTCACAATGCACAGATATGCCCGGAAAAGCCTCGCACCACGGACTCGCTCATGTCGTTAACAACAGATTATCCATTGGTGAAGCACTTAGTGAATGAGAGACTAAAGATAACGACAGGTGGAGCAGGCTGAGTTATTACAGTGAAAGTGGGATTATGCTGATGTGGGATTTTTTTTTTCCCTCTTCTTCTTCAGTATCATGTTTTTGCTCTGATCTGATCTGATCTCCACTGACAGACGACTGTGTGATACCAAATCCCTGTTAAGTGCTGGAGCAGAACCAGAGTCAACAGGTGGTGAGGACAGAGCTCTGTGTGTGTGTGTGTGTGTGTGTGTGTGCTGTTGATGGCAGCTGAGTCAGACGTGACCTCCTTCACTCTTTCGTTGAATCAAAGTTAAACATGGTCTATGTTTTTTTTTTTTTAACGGATGTAGGAATAAAAGCCGACGTTATAAAGCTGCTGTTCCTGAAGACCAGGTCAGGACCCTGGACATGAAGACCCCTTTTTCAGACATAAAACACATAAAATATATAAAATATAGATTTATAAAAAGTCTAAAATGCAAACATCTAGTTTTTAGTCTGATTAATTACAGACTGTGAATCAATCTCCATTTCTAAAATGTAATGACAACAAAAAAAATCTGTATGTTGCTGAAACAGAAAGACCGATAACAGCACGTAAATGTCAGTGTTTCTCAAACAAACAACAAACAAATGCTGCAGGTTGAGATGTTATTTTAAGCTTGAGCTGCTTTGTGAAACAAAAACGTTTTTTTTTCAAATATAACCATATGCTTTTGAGCAAAGATACTGTAAGTGGATGGACTGTACACAATGAGAATATGCAAACATCTAAGCGCAAGCACTAACCACCCATCCAGAAGGTGGCACTCATGTCGCAGGTATATGATTTGTTCATGTATAAGAAATGATGATGGGAATTGAAGATTGAACAAATAACCTTTTTTATTTATAGGAACTTGTCTATATCTGAGAACTTCCTCCACTTTCTTTAAGACCAGACTCCACAGAAACATCAATGACTCTCCCTCTGGTACTGAACAAACTAATGACACCGCCGATCTCATCATGGGTTAACGCCAGATGTCTCATCGGCTTCACTACATTCAGTTGACACCACAGAGAATCAAACTCTAATTCAAAGCAACTGCGGCCCCCTGACCCCACGCCCCTCCTCTCAGCGACATAAACTCATTCATTCGATCCATGCAAGCCGGTCTTTGAGCTCACGGAGCTTAAGAGAAGGATTGGCAGCGCTGCCGAGAGCAGCTTTACAAACAGACAGATAGATTTCGCTGCGTGCAACCGACATCACACGGCCACAGAGATGGGTGTAGATGTGATTTGGATCAATATGTTGCCTGAACAAATGACACTTGACTGTTAGACACGTGTCAAACACCAGAATCAAAGAGGCTGCAAGGCAAAATGTGACTTCTCTGATGCAAATGGTATCTTCTTAAAGCCGGCCATGAGGCTTTTAGATGTAGTTGCTCACAGTAATTGTGTAATTGTGTGTACTTTTGCTGGCTTCCCAGGCTCATGTTTTTTTTATTTGACATTAAGCAATACACCAATTCTGAAATGTAAAAATATAATTCTAAGCACTAGATAATTAAAACGCACATGAATTGCAGCCGCATTATTATAAGTATGATTTAATTCCAGCTCTAGCGTTAAATATAAAACACTACTGCATGAAATTTAACATCACTGTGGTACTGATTTACAGGTGGCACCATTCCCCACTTCCTACCACACACTGACATATTATTTGGGGCAGGTTAAATAAACCAGAGACCTACTTATTATATAACAAAACAACACAAAAAAATAAAAAATAAAAAAAAATCACACAGAGCGTTGTTCGTCTAGCCGCAATTGATCGCCTGTTACATGCATACTGTAACTTCCTTTCATCTGTAGTTTTTTAAAAGAGAACGAACAACAGAAAAATGTTCTTGGATTGAATAGAACACCGGTCGCTATCATCTCAAATGCACCCGTCGAGCTCGGTGGGGTCATGACGCTGGAAAGTGTGACTTTTCACTACTCTTGCCCTGGTTTGCTTTCACTCTTGTATAAGTGCATTCAGGTCCAGCTACCATATTCACTGTGAGCACAGTCAAAGCAGAATGTGTGTACAGCCAGTGAAAGGCTGTAGACAACTGCGTAGAGACACAAGTTAAATGCTAATATAAATAATAAATATATATAAATAATATATATATATATGTATATACATATATATATGTAGATACACAAACAAAAACATTTACTGCTGAACATTTTTAAAGACATTTTTAATAAATAAACCTACTGAAACTATCAAGACAAACAGAACAAAACAATGTGATTAAAGCTGTAAAACTTGGCTGTGATGATACAGATGTTACAAACATACAGTAGAGGATTAGGGGTAATCTGTATGTGATCAGGCTTCTGTTTATCAAGTGTGTGTGTGTGTGTGTTTACCAGACTGTGTGGGAAATGGTGGTCTGGAAAGCGAAGGTGATGTAATTGCGTGCGTGGTCGAGGTAGGGGTCTGAGAAGGTGTCTGTGTCGCCGGAGAAATGTCTCCACTTCATTAGTTCAGACATGCTCAGATGCTTCGGTGCCGTCACACCCCCACGGTCGCTGTGACGACCGAGTTGACACGGCCGGTCATCGACCTGTTGGTTCTCCTCTGTGAGGGCTGTGTGCAAAGATGGAAGTTAGTGAAGAAGAATCTTCCGCTCCCAGTGTGTGGGACGTGTCCCTGAACTCACCTGGGACAGATCCATCCATGCTGCAGCTGCAGATCAGCAGAGCGCGTGCTGGGGAGGGAGTAGC